ACACCCTAATCCCTAAACCCTGATAGGTTGGGACCTTTGTCAGAAGGTGGGCTCTGGGGTGATTTTTTTGGGAAAGGGCCTCCCAGCGTTTGTAGACTTTCCATCCGCGACCGTATCTCCATAAATTTCTGCCAATATAGAACGCGGCAGCTAAAGGCCTTTGGGACATAAGGGTTATATAGGGATAATGNNTTTAGGGTTTAGGGTAAAAGCCCTGCAACTTTGGCTGTGGATCGTCCAGTTTGCAGTTGGGTAGCAGAGGCCCGCAGCCCCAGCAAAGTTTCAACTCTTGCTGTATCGGTTAGATTCCATGTTGCATCTGTTCGTTTCCATCCCCAAGTATCAGCGCGCCTGAATGCGGGACCCAGAAGGTTTCTCGCAATTCATGAGTCCTCCTGTGCGTGCCTGCATCAGTTGTATCCTTACGTATCTCATGTTTCGGAGTTGTTAACCCTAGCGCTCCAGTTACCTAANNTAACTGGGAGCCCTAGGGTAAGGGAGGGAAGACCAATTTGGGATGGGAACCGCCGCCTGGTGCTGCTTCATCCTCCACCTTTCCATCATCTAAACCCATACACAAATAATCTCTGAACACGTCCTGCTGGTGCTTAGCCTGCTTTGAGCTCAAAGCAATAAAAAAATTCTAGAGCTAGGATGATGGGCGACTAAATTATAGGAATGCCAGGACGCTTTCTATCTCCTGAGAATATTTCAGCGAACGGTTCTAGATGGTTGGGGTCCTTCTCCTTGATAACTCCTCTCTTTCATTTCCTTGTGAGTCTTAGAAGATGTCGCAGATCAGTTCCGCTGGGGTCGTGCAGCAGCATTCCCTGGACGGAAGCCTCAATGCCCATAGGTGCCTCACTGACGGCACAGACATTTCAGGTTTAGGGTTTAGGCGGTTTGATTCTGTTCGGTGGTGGAGTGCCGGTGATGATCTGGAAGCCTTCTGACCCTGACCCCCCTCAACCCCCTAGGCCCGAAATCCTTGGGCTGTAGCCCGTGAAGACAAAAGGAGCTCAATGAGCTTATGCAAGCTATACATGGTACCAATATGCCTAAATACATATAAATATATGTCTCTGTAAACAGCACGTAGTCCAATGCCATTGAGATAGCCCCGCGTTCAGCCCATCATCCAGGCTATAATCTCTATAGTAGTTTCCATTNNTAACCCCAATATTACCCCAACATATTCACTACATATCCCCTATTCCCCTATGTTTTTGCTCTCCCAGGTTATACGGACCTCCTGGACTCTTCGGGCACCTTCTTCGCAGTGGCAAAGGTGGCAGGGCTCACGGACAGCCGCGGAAACCTACCTCTGGCCCGTGCCCAGCCTTGCATAAATTTGTGGAGATTTCATGGCCTCTTGTTGTTCGGATGGGACTAGGTTAGGATACCCCTTGCGGTCCCTTAACTCTTCGATAGTGCGACTGCAGTTTCTATTCAGCACTCCATCGACCAATGCAGATGAAAACGTCAACAGATGTCAACAGAACAGCCTAGAACAGAAGAGTGTGACCAGGTCAGAACATGGCGTACCTCGCGGATGCTCTCTCGATGATGGCCGGGCTGAAAGGGTTGTCAGTTGTGCTTCACGATTTGGAGGGTTCGGCTTCGATATGGATCTCCCCGACACTCCACACAGCTCTGCTAAGAGCCATGTAGGCCGCTGCGACCTCCGACTGGTTCCACGAGTCTACTGCACCGGTATGTGAGTATGCAAATATGAGCCTATTTTGAGACAATGCCGCAGCGCAGATCTTAGTGGGACTTACTTACGGGCCTACGTAACACAAACAGCGGCCGACAGCTTGCAATGACTGCCGTGCAGCTCACTAGTTGCGTTACGCTCATGACTGGTTGGACAATGTTTCTCAGAATTTGTGCATCTTCGATTTCTTTCTTCCTTGTAACAATCAATTCCGTGTCCGTTCGTCGGACCATTCATCATGATTAAGTAAATAAAGAACCATATGATTCAATACCATAAGCCCCTCCAAGCCCTCAACTAAACCCTAAACC